AAATAAGCAGCTCGTGGCTGGCAGCTCGAACTCGTAGAATAAAGTTTAAGCTCAAATTAAATTAATTAATCAATGTCTCGCTCAAATCAGACATAACTCAAGCTCGACTCGACTCGGTTGCACGCCTAATTATAAATATGTTAATTGTAGATGTACTTTTCAAGATTGGGCCCAACCAAGGCGAGCATATATTGCCCCCCACATATCATGATAATGCGAAGATATAATGTGTAAAGCTGTTTCATGCATATCCCCCAATTAGGATCATTTTAAAATTTCTACTTGTGATATTTAAATTTTGAAATTATTGATTTGATTTATTTATCTTAGACTTAAAATTATAAAAAAATAAATTAAGTAATACGATTAAACTTATCTTGAAGATTAAATATTAAAATTTGAAAAGACTTTATATCAAAATTTAAAGACTATTTTGCTCTTTTTTTTGCATGGAATACAAATTAAAAGATAATTACAATAATTTTGAAGATAAAATAACATAATTTGAATGTATTAATTTATATAAAATGAAGAGATTTGGGGTGGTAATATAAATAATGAAGTTGCCAATATAAATAAATTTCTTCGGAAAAAAATATATGACAAATATCAATTCATGTGTTTTTTTAAAATAATTTAAAGGTTATGGGAACATTTTTAATTAGAATATTATGATCAAATTTCATTCAAGATGATGTCAAAGCCAATTTTTGCATTTAAATTTATCGGTGAGTAACACAAGAGCTTTATGTTTTGTTTGGAACGACTTTTTTTATGCTTCTTAAAGCAGCTTTTTAATAAAAAAATTAATTTTTTTAATAAATAGTTGCTTTAAGAAGCAGAAAGAAAATCATCCCAAATGAAGCCTTAGTAACACAAATAAATTAAGCTAGAGAGAAAAAAAAAGTACATAAAATTATGGTATTTGAGTAGATTGCCTAAAATGCAAAACTTATGCAAATGATTGAATGTACCAGAATCACCATCTCGCCTCTTATTTATAGGCCGAGGTCGATGCATAATTGTACATGCAATAATACATTTATACAATTGAAGTAAAATTATATGTTATATGACTCAACAAGTGCTTGTTGTAAAATGAATGAGCTTAACTAGATTATGGCTTCGTTTGGGGCGGCTTTCTTGTTGCTTCTTAAAGCAACTTCTTAGTATCAAAATTAAAATTTTTGTACTAGGAAGCTACTTTAAGAAACAGAAAGAAAGCCGTCCCAAACACCTATAGCTTATTTAATGATCACATGGAGTACAAATAGTAATTCTTAATGGATGAATGAATTAACTACTCAAAAGTCACCTAGCCATTTCACTTAGATAGTTAGATTTGCTGAGCTCTAGAAAATAACTTCGACAAGTGACCTTCTAAGATTGGACGATTTTCTTACTGCTTTCTAAAACAGTTTTCTAATACAAAAATTTCTAGCCCAAAAAAATTTATATAAAACTTTTTGTATTAGAAATCTGTTTAAAAAACAGTAAAAAATTATTTCAAATGTGTTGCGTCCTGGAATATTCGCGGCGGTAGAGAAATACTGAAATCAGAGTTTGGATGCTCCCGAAATTAAATTTTAAAGTTTCCAACTAGCTTTTTCTCTCGAGATTCGCGTCCGATCAAGATAATTTTTACATGGCGTATCAAAATGAAACCTTAGACTCTATCTTATACAAAGAAAATTTGTTAAACATCCTTAAAAATATGAACTATAAAGAGATCAAATCACAATAGTTATATGTACTTGGAAATAAATACAATACAAAATTTAATAAAATTTTGATATATTTAACAAATATCTAGGAATATTTCAGATAAAACTAAGCTTTATGATAAATTATTTCTCAACTAGAACGGGCATATAAACGCATGAACCTACCACCCACCAAACACCTTGTCTGAAATAAGAACTCCAAAAGAAAAAAAAACTAGCCATGTGACTAAGTTTAATTTGAATTTTGCATTAAATCATCCATACCGGTCCCTTTCCTTCCTTTAATTCCCCGTCGCTGGCATTATTACTCCTTTCAACTACCCAACTCAGCCTTTTCTCCACACCCCTCAATTTATTTACTATTTTGCCTTTTTCAGTACCTTAAAATTTTTTTTAAGTCAAATAATATATCTATATATACTTTATATATGAAGAAATTATTCTTGACTGTTTTGAGACCAATCAGAACGGTCCACGTCACTCGGTACACAGCCATACCGACCACCGGTATCGAGCATAAAAATAACATGGATAGTTCTAATTGGTCTCCGAACGCTATTCAGTGTCCGCACATAATATTTTTTCTTATATATGGCACTCCTTCAATAATCTTTACACTTCTTTTAAGCTATAGTTTTAGAATTTAATAAAGTCCATTAATTAGTTCATATAACTTATTATATAATATTATATATATATCATAATCATCAAATAACATATCAATATATTTTGATTGTATTGTTCTATACATAATTGTTATGATAACAAAATGATTTTTATATAATTCATATCTTTAAAAATTATATGATAATTATAAAAAATTGTTATTTATATTTCTAAATGTTAATATATATAATGTTCTTTTTATATATTTTAATATATATATATATATATATATATTATATTATATATTATATTGCTTGATATTAGGTGTTATATCATTAATATAAAAATTTTAACAATTTTAGATAAATTGAGTATAACTACATATATTCTAATACATATTTACATAAATCCTTTTTATATGACATAAATTAATATCTAAAGAACTTAAAGCTATTAAATTTTATTATATATATTTGAGTGGTACAAAAATTAAGTATTTTGTACACAACCGAACATTTTTAGAAACAGCTGTGAACTGTTACCGTCGTAAAAAATGTGAAAATCTGCTTTTTATATATATACGCACCCTGAGAGGCATAACTATTAGCTGCCAATATTTAGACTACTGACCTCACTGGCAATTTGAGAAAACAACAGATCGTGATGGAGGAGTTGAGGGTGAAAGGTGGTTGCGAAGGCGCCGGAGATGGAGGCGGTGGCGGCCGGAGATGAGCCGAGTGAGCCGACGGGACAGTACTTCTAACCAGCTCGGGCTTTTGAATGTAAGCATTCTACGCTTGTCTTAGTGAGTCTGATGACGGCTCGATGCATTCTCAGGGCTCATGGAGTACTGTGGAAGAAAGCTCTTTCTGCCCTGTTAGCTCCGATTTCTCCTCTCATCATTGGCAAGTTCTTCTTCGCCAATCTTATTTATTTATTTTATTTTATTCTTATTTGCGAATAAATTTTTTATCTGAAATGAAAATTTATCGATATTTGTTATATGGATTTAAATTAATTTTTAACTTTCATTTCAAATATCTTAAAGTTTAAAAAATCAATCTTTCTCACATATAAAATAAAATAAATTAAAATTTTTTTTTTAAATCATATTTCTCGTTTAATGCAAACTAATGAGCCATAATCAATATCTAAATCAAAGTAATAAATTTTCGAATATGGATAATGAGAATATATGTGATAACTTTCTTTATTTTAAGATATAATGTTTACATTAAAAAATAATGAAAATAAAAAGTTAAATATTATCAAAATTCTTTTTTTATCGATTTCTTTATACTAAATTTTTTTGTATTATTCCTCCTGCGACAATATCTCTTTTTTTTTTCTATTTTTGATATTACACGTGATAATGTTTTAAATTTTGATAATTAAATTCACTTAAAAAATACGCATATTTAAGAGTATTAATGCTAATGCCCAATTCCTGAATAAAATAAATAAATTTATATCTTCTCTATATGAACTTCCATATAAATTTTATGACATGCATAAATTATCAAATCCTATCCTATGAATTAATTAGTTAAATAATAAAATGAAATTAATTTATTTTTTAAGAAACTAAATTGAGTAATACAAAAGCTAATTACTCCAAACAATAATAACGTAAGGTTAGTCAACCATGAGCATTGAAACAAGTGCAAGGACATATGTACATTGTTCATTAACTCGCTATATTAAAATTGAAGAATTGAATTGCGACTCGGTTGATGTGAGATTCTAAGGATTGGCTCACCAAATTATTTTTTGCTATTGAAATGAATTATTAATTTTTTTAATAATTGCACATGAGTTGAAAATATGTTGATTAATGTATAAAAAATAAATATAGTGGCTTTTTTAATTGAAAATTTTAATGAAAATTATATTTTTTTTTTTATAAATTAATTTTGGAAAATAGTGAAATATGTCTTATTGATGAGAAAATTTTTAAGGAAACAATTTTTAATTTTGGGAACATTACTTGTATAGAAACATTGCATAAATGGACTTTATTTTTTTAATTTTTTATTTTATTTTTTCATAAAATGATGGACCTATTGGTGCATAAAAGTATAAAGATAGAGCGTACTGGCCTTTATCATCACCCCCATATCTCGGTCTTTCCATACATGGTACTTGATATATTATATAATATTAGAAAATAAAAAATAAGGAATATATTCATCTCTTTATTTATATATATATATATATATATATATTAGGTAAAGATCAAAAGGTCCTCTGACTTGTTACAGATGATCAAAATAGTATTTGATTTTTTTAAGGTCTCATTTTAGTTTCATTTTAAAAAAAAAATAAGGATTCAATTGATATCATAGAAGCATTAATTTAGTTCCTATTTAAAGAGTTGATATACTAAGTTTTTATTTGGCATGACTTATTAATGCTTCTTAAAGTAATTTTCTGTTAAAAAAATTTAATTTTTTACTAGAAAGTTACTTTAAAAAACGATAAAATCATTCCAAACAAAATCTATATAAATTGACACTTTTACATAGGCTTCAATTAGGACAGCTTCTTTCTATTTTCTATGACAGCTTTATGGCACAAAATTTTTATTAAAGTACCGAAAATGCTGTTGACAAAAGCTGTTCTAAGCCAAGCCATATTAAAGACCATTTTGACCCACCACTGTTTGTCCGGATGGTGAAGAGCTGGCTGAGCAAAGCCCAGGTCCCTGATTCGAATCCCTTGGCAAGCAGTGAAAATCTTAAGTGTTGGCCCGTGTAAATTGGTGTGGGTTGCATGCTAGGTCGACCGGAGTTTTCACTGGCCTAAGAACAGTGCTTCCTCGTCACAAAAAAAGGCCATTTTGATCTTTAATATATATATGTAAATATGATTTTATGTGTGAGAGAGTGGTAAGAGAATTTATTTTAACAAAATTATGAATTTGAACTATATATTTTGTAAGTTATCATTCATCTTAAAAAAATAAAATAAAAGTGAAAATATTTATCTTAATTTTTTTTGGATTGTTAAGGGATTCGAGCCCGAATGAGATGGGAGGAATTTCTTCCGTCGAACACTCGGCCGCACACCCGATTTAAAAAATATTTATCTTAAATTTAAGAAAAAATTGTATAATTTACATAATTATTAGAGACATTAAAAGTCAATGGCCTCAATTATTATCTTTACTAATTAATGCAAAATTGACTATCATGTATCAAACCATATCTAGAATGATAATCTAACAATGACTTATAACAACCCATTTTAATATAATGAGCATTAATTGCACTCATTTTAACTGTGAACCACATAGTTTCAAACTAATAAATGCTAAGATATAGATGTGACCCTTTAAAATCATATATTTATAAAATATTTATGGGTGATTTTCATATCAATATTAATCAATAATAATAATAATATCAAGCATTTATTTTAATATGTGAGGTCTACTATATGAATCTTTTTTTATGTTATCAATAATTATCATAGATAAAATATTCATAATTATATTTAAAAAATATTATTGAATATGTAAAATCATAAAGGCTTTAGGAGAATATTTATGTTTTTTTTTTTAAGAATAACGTTGTGCTTCTATATAATATTAAAAATAGATATTATTTTTAATGATATAATATTAAGTATTTTTCTGTTTATTATTTATATAGAGGTAATTGTTTAATATCAATAATATTTATTTAAAAAAAAAAAACAGGTGAAAGATGAGAAGGGAATACAACACTGGAAGAAGGTGACGGTAAACCTTGAAGACCATATCAAAACGCCAATTTTCCCCTCTGGCTTCGATTTCTACGACAAATTCATCGAAGAATATGTCACAAAACTCGCCATAGATCGTCTTCCAACATCCCGACCATTATGGGAGCTTCACCTCCTCAAATATCCGACGCGCTCTACCGCCGGAACCGCCGTCTTCAAGCTGCACCACGCGCTCGGCGATGGTTTTTCTCTAATGGGAGCCCTTTTCTCTTGCTTGAAGCGGGCGGACGATCCCTCGCTTCCTCTCACATTCCCCGTCCGCCGGCAGAATCCGACGCCCGTGAAGGCTGGAACTTTAATGCAATGTTGCCGCTCGGCGGTGCGGGCCGTGGAAATCGGACTTAATACTGTGACGGATTTCGCTTGGGGGCTGATGAAGAGCACTTTGATTGAGGACGATCGGACTCCGGTGAGGTCCGGCGAAGCAGGGGTGGAGTTCAGGCCGTTGATTATCTCGAAAGTGGTGTTTTCACTGGAGGATGCGAGGAAGGTGAAGGATAAACTCGGAGGGGTAAGTGAGAAATTATAATGACTTATTAGAGTTTAATTATCACTGCAATTTTGATTTATAAACATTCATTTGGACATGTTATTAAGATTATATCTTTAACCGTAATTATTAACCATATTAGAAAGTTTTGAATAAAATATTGAAACAGCTAAAATTTTGACAGATCTTTTATTTAGAAATTCTAAAAGCAACTTAATTAATCACACTTAGGCCAAAGCAAATACTTAATGTATAATTAAAATTTTAGGGACATTAATTAGATGACCAAATAATATCTAAATACTTCATGCTAATGGTCAAATCGAGCATCTTGAAGATACGAATCCAACAAGCTCAAATTTGTTTAATTATGACATCATTAAAACATAGATTATGAAAGTAGTGTATATTATGAAGTAATCAATATGATCGCCCAATTGTCGGCTATATTTATTGATAAATATACTCTCAAAAATTATAAATAGACCCCTACTCTTTATATGAAGGGGAACTTAAACCATTGGCTTGATATCCAAAAAAGCTTAAAGTCTTTAATAATCTCATAGCTTCATTGAACAATCATCCATCCACCATCATCGAACCGTTGCTATTTAACTATGTCTTAATCATGACCATCGAACTATTGCCTTATCATCATCCAACAAACATGACTATGATATCCTAATCACAAATGTCTGACCACTGTCATTGTTGCCAAACTACGATCGTCCAACCACCGTCCCCCACTACAGTTTTCCAACCACCGTCACTTGACTACAATCATCCAAATATCATCGTTATCTTCCCACTATGGCATCTCATTATTGATGTCCGACTACAACCATCTGACCACCATCATCAGTGTTAGATTACTATCCTTAGGTCATTGTTGCCCGGCTATGACCCTCTAATCACTATTGTCCAACTATAAACCTCCAACTATCATCATCCAACTAAAATTTTCAGCCACCATCACCGAACTACGGTACTTCAACCACAGTTACAAATCTTTCAACATACAACAATCACAGTTCTTATTTGCGTGAAAACTTACAATAAAAGTTTACAGTATACTAACACCATTCACCATCCGTTATTTGCAAGCATACGTTTGTTAGTGAAATAAACCAGTAGTAAATGTTTTCATAAAGGAAATGTCTTTTAGGGCAGTGCTGAAATGATAAATTTACCCTCACAGTTACTTTAATCTGTGAAAAATGCGAAACCAATTTCATTGTATTTTGTATTTATCGATAAATAGTTAGCCCATAATTTTCATGCTGAAGAATAGCTTTCTTCTTTCCTAATTGATTTCCTTCCCATCCAACACCTAATGGCTGGATTTGATAGCTAAGTACACTTTTTATTATTATGCGCAAATTGTTAGGTGAGTCGGGGACCATGATAGACTTAAGAATTTATTTTTGATAGTGAAGTGATTGCAGCCATAATCTTCTTCAACAATTACAATAAATTACAAAATCACATCATCATCATTAATGATGTGGCCACTGACCATCAGCTTTGATTTTGATTGCTATTACAACTATGCTCAAAATCATTGTAGTTCATATGTATTTAATATAGCATGAATAGAAGTATGGTTGGTGTATTTGGTTTAATTCCTTCTTCCTAATTTTTATTTTCATGCAAATTCAAAGCAACTCGAGATTAATTAGTTTTGAGCCAAGCCAAAATCAAATAAATTCGAGTGTTGTCGACTTGAATAGAAATTAAATTGATTTCAAGCTGAATATGAGTCAAATTGAACTCGTTATTTCTAGATTTTATTCAAGCAAAACTTGCTTAAATTTAACTCGTTGTTAATCGTGATTTAGGTAGCTTTTTAGGAAAATAATGTTTTGTCCTCCCAAAAAGTCAACACTACATACTAATTACTAAACTATAAAAAATGCTAGTTCAACATATAGTTTTTTTTTTTTTTTCATTTTTTATGTGATTATTTGACATGAATATTTTAATGGCTAAATCATTAGTATGAAAGAAAAGCATTTTTGTAGGTTTAACTTTTTATTGAATTATTTAGTCAACAAATTGTTTTAACTATTTATATAATATTTAAGATTAAGAAATTACTTTATACTCGTAAGAAACTGATAATATTTGTTGTGTTTTCGAATGTTTATAGCGGTAGAGGGAGTTTATAGTCTCAACATTTCATAAAAATTTTGCTCACACAAATAAGTGGGGATCCATAAACAGGAGATGCATATTTCGACATCAAAAATCTATGAATGGAAAAAACAATTGGATTTTGGATAGTTAAAATTATTCTATTAGTATGAGCCAAGAATTATAAAGGGCAATTTTCCTTATACCTAGTGAAAATATTTATAAAATATGGTAATATGAACTATAAACGTAATCTCTTCTTGTGGTAATAAGTGGATGGCTTAACATGGTCGATGATTAAGCAACTGGTAAGATGTGCTTTTTTAAACATCTGTTGTTGGTTAAGTGTTGGATGACGATCAATATGGAATGTCAAAAATAATGTGGTAGTGGGGGTTGGCATGGTCATTCTCCTGATATGAGGGGAGACAATGCGATTGGCAAGAAGAGCATCAAAAGTTGGTGGCAACACTTACTTATCAAGTGTCAACTTGGTCATTCTCCAGATCAAAGGAGAGGTGATCAACAATTGACAAAGAATGTGAGAAGTTGAATGATAGTGGGTAGTCTACTTTGTTGTTTACTTTATTGGAGGGAGATTCGGCAATCATGAAGGCAGACATGCATATTGGAGTTTAATTGACATTAGACATTCAATATTAGTCTTCAACAAACATCTGACAATAATTTATAGGAAATGTTATAAGTATAGCAATGATTGACGGTCAACTTCGTTAGTTTAAGAAAGTCCAAAAAAAGTAGGTGAGCTGGATGCACACTTTTTTGTTTCATAATTTTCTTTCAAAAAATCAACCAATCCAATCTAACACAATGAGCTTGAGAGGCAAGCATCGACTGATAAAGAACATTGAAAGATGAGCTATGTAGCTAGTCAACCTAGCCAATCTTCTTATAGGAGGGGAGATCTGTTGATTAGATATTAGATGGATAGATTTTGGATATCTATGTTTGGCCAACATTAGACAACAATTTGTTGTTTCTTGAATGCGGAAGATTGAGCTTCTTGAGCCTTCTTGCAGGAGAGAGAGAGAAGGGAGGAGAGGGAGAGAGCTAATAGAATTTTATATTCCTTTTATTCATTAGGCATATTACAGGACATCTCATCACAACAATCTACAATGCCTATTTATAAGCTTTAACATAGGTGTGATGTCATACAAAGCATAACTAAAACTTGGACCAATGCACTAACACAATTGATGGGGAACATTATAAGTTGGGCAATTATGGGTGATCAACTTTCTTGTTCTCTTGATATGAGGGGATATTGGGCAACAAGGAAAAGATGCGAGTAGTATTTGGTGGCTAACGAAATTTGGATGTCGGTCGTTAGTAAGAGTTGAACAATTGACTAGGAAAATAGAAAAATGATGATGATCAACGTCTGGGTTATTCTTTATCCTAATAGAAGGTGATCGTGCAATGAGAACAATGAGCATCAAGAATGGATCTTTAGTTGACATTAGATGACAATTGACAAGAACATCAGAGGTACGGTATAGATTAATGATCAACTTTATTATTCTCCTAGTAGGAGGGTAGGTCAAATTACTGCCAAGACAAGAGTTAGATGTCGGTTGCTGAGGGTTTCAAGCATCAATATTTGGCAATTGTCAAGTAATGGTCGATGGAAACATCTGATGTTAGATGTCAATAGTCAATTGACTTGGTCGCTTTCTTTATAAGAGAGAAGAAGACAAGTGTTGGATGACAGTGGCTAACATAAGTTGTATGTCGGTCTTTGACAAAGATTTTTTCATTGAATATATAAAAATAAAAACTATTTATAGATTTATAGAGTAAATCCTTTTAACAATTCTGCAAAAAATATAGATACTCCATTGAGCAGTTTCAAAATATCGCCTTAAATCTTTTTATATATATAGTCATTTTGGACAAACTCAATATCTTCATGAACGCATATTTAAGCAATATTGGACGCATGCCAATCATCTTATGAATTCACTTGTTTCAACTCATCGCAATCATCTCATGAATGTACTTGTTTTGACTATAAATTTATTTGAATTTGTATTTAAATGATCCCCTAGTTAATCCCTAAATTTTTTTGCTCAAATACTTGAATACTTTGACTCTTGGAGCTCTAAAAATTACATCAAAATTTATGCTAAATTAGATAAATTTTATCATTTTATGCTGATGTATCAATAATATTTTTTTTAATCATTCAATCAACTAATATGAGTGCCCTTGCATTTTTTAATCAAACAACCCTAATTCTAACATCATTGCAAACAACAATCTTAACTTGATGTCACCAAACAATTATTACATGCGCTCGAATCATGACGCAACAGGACACTTCATAGCAAATTACCTTAACACCAATTGCAAACGAATTTATTCGTGATAGTTCTTCAATGTTGCTCATGTCTTTTTACCTTTTGTGATTTTTTATTGCAATGCTAAGTACTATTTGTGATTAAAGATAGCTTTATAGCGCAATTTTGCAGAAATAGTTATTATCTTCATCTTTTTATGGCCATGAAGAGCATACGTACAGACAACTTCTTTCTCTATAGTAAAGAATTTTTTTTTTTTCAAATTTTATAAAACATAAGACATTACTGTTACTAAGATAATAACATCCAGAAGAAAAATCTAAATCACATGTGCTATTAAAGTATGCCAACTGTTATTTAGCCTTTCAGCAATTTATCTACAGTGATGTGACAACTTGACGATGAGGTGAAGTAAATAATGTTTTATTGCTTCTGTCAGGAATTTATTACAGTCATAAATTACATACCGCACTTTTTGTAAATTACTTTATATCCTTGATGATGTGGGCCTCTGACATGAAAAATGAACGTATTTGCTGTATATTTTGCAGACAATAAATGATGTTATAAGTGGAGTAATATTTTATGGAATTCAACTTTACATGAGAGCTGTAAACGGTGATGTTGCCTGCAGTAGTAGAGTGGGTATGGGAAAGGTGACTGCTTTACTGCTACTCAACACCCGGAATGTTAATGGCTACCAGAGCTTGCATGAAATGAAGAAACCAGGAGCAAAGAGCCCATGGGGCAATCAATTTGGGTTTATTCATGTTTCTGTTCCCAGCTGCAAGGATGCTGAAAAGGTTGATCCTTTAACTTTTGTTCTCAAAGGGAGGCAGATCATTAGGGCAAAGAAGAAGTCACTTGGAGTTTATTTAACTGGGAGGATTCTAGAGTTAATGAGGAAGCATAGAGGGTCAGAGGTAATTACTTAATCTCTGAGTTTATTTGATTACTGTTTGGATTAGTTAAATAGTAAGTGATGGTTGTATGAAAATTGTTGAATTATTACAAGGAATATAAGTTCTTGCCTAAACAAAGCTTTCTTTCTGTGCATGTCTTATGTAGACTGAATCATGCATTGAAAGATACGTGTTTATACATCATTGCCATCTTAATTTCTGCTGCAGAAGCCTATTTAGACATTTTTTCTAGTGCTTTATAATTATTTCGTTTCCTTAAAGTTGATACACTGTAATTTTACTTTGCAAGAACATGTATGTTTAGATAGAATTATGGTTCACATGTATCTTATTTGTGACTTTATTATTATTTGCTATACAGTTATAGTAAAATATGTTGTTTATCTTCATGTGAGTGGTGAAGACTCAAGATTATGGCTTCCTTTGGGACGGCTTTCTTGCTGCTTCTTAAAGCAGCTTTCTAGTACAAAATTTTTAATTTTTGTACTAGAAAATTGCTTTAAGAAGCAATAAGAAAGCCATCCCAAACGAACCCTATAATAAACATTGCACAATCATTTACAACTGCAGTGAAATGTTTGTATGATATCTGTAGAAGTTAGCTCAAGGCTTATTCAAATTTGAAATGCAGGTGGCGGCTGAATTCATGTATAGAACATTGATGAATACAAGTGCAACAATTTCCAACTTGACAGGTCCCATGGAGAAAATGATGATGGCGAACAATCCCATTAGTAACTTCTACTTCATGGTAGTTGGTGTCCCTCAGGTAATTTCTTATAATAATAAATATTCATGCTTAAATAGATTCATATTTAATGTATCAAAATTTTTATCGTCTCCATATCATAAAGGGGATGTTTCACCAAATTAAACTTAAAATTTGGAAAAAATATTAGGTGAGGATGTATTCAAAATGATTAGCTTAACAATGAAATTTATTGAATGCAGAACCTTACAATAGCAGTTGTGAGCTACATGGGAAAGCTAACTTTGGTCATGGGAACAGAGAGGGACTTCATAGACTCGAATCTACTGATTTCTTCCATGAAAAGATCATTTCAAAGGATCTTTGAGGCAGCCATGGGCAATATCTAAAGTTTTGCTGGACAAAACTAAAGGAACTTCCTTGTAGAAATCCACATGATGAGTATGTTATCACCATTCATTTTTATACTGAGATTTGTATTTGTTAGTCTCTACTAAAATGAAATGAAAGGCGATGATATATTCATCATAGGATTTCCATAAGGAATGCTTTGTTGGATTTCAGTCCTGTTTCAAATATATCATATCAGGTCAATTAAGCTCAATTTCTTTATATATATAAATGCCCAGTGTATCTGTTTAGTTTTAATGTATGAGGCTTTAATTTGATACATGATTCTTTGATTTGAATTTGAATGCAGAAGCCTACTGCATTTAGATCTTTTCAATGCGAGTCCATGTTTATTGTATTTGTATCTACATTAACGAATATATTAATTGTTGGAATGTAATTTGCATTGATCATTCATTACTGGTGTTCTTGAATAGAGATCCTTCAAAACCATTAGAGAAAATATGTTTTTTGGTTTTTTTGGGATCAGAAGAACACGATGCAGTTAGCACCAACTTTTGAATTCACTTTAATTGATATTATGGCCTTCTGGTTTTTTTTGTGAGGATCATGAATTCATTCTTATGAAGTGGGCAATGAATATATTATTTGGAGAAGTCAAGGCAGAAATGCAGCATAGTGGAGTTCTTTTGTGATCATGATGCTTGTTATTTTGGTGTACCATGCTATGCCATTTCAAATAACTATGCATTATTTAGGGGAATAAAAATGGAGGCTTATTTCTAAAATTTTCTAATTTAGATTATAATTTGTTCGCAAAAAATGTGGATAATTTATTATTTGCAAAACTTTTATCATGTAATTTTTTGCATATTATAGAGACTGAGATTTTGAACATTTAGGAATTTTTATGAAAATTTTACACTTGGGATTTTACTATTTTAATTGATTAAAAAATAACCTTTAATTTGAAAAATAATGATGTAGTACAATTAAACTATTATAATAGTATTTTATACAATGTCTGATAATTTAGTTGCATTCTAAAGTCGTAGATTTTATACAACAACAACAACAACAACATCAAGCCTTTATCCCACTACGTGGGGTCGGCTACATGAATCCTTTTTCTCCATTGTGTCCTATTAAAAGTCAAATTCTCGTTTAAATCTAATAAAGAAAGGTCATTCCTAATATTTTCTAACCAAGTCTTTTTAGGTCTACCCCTACCTTTCTTAACATAAGTCAAATCTAATACCTCTACTCTCCTAACCGGGTCATCGCAAGGCCGCCGTTTTATGTGACCAAACCATCTAAGGCGACTTTCTCTAATCTTATCTTCTACTGGAGCTACTCCAACCTTTTCACGTATATGCTCATTTCGTATCCTATCTCTAAGGGTAAAGCCACTCATCCACCTGAGCATCCTCATCTCTGCCACACTTAACTTAGTATTATGCTTCTCTTTTAAAGGCCAACATTCAGCACCATAAAGCATTGCAGGCCTCACTACCATCTTATAGAATTTTCCCTTAAGTTTGAGGGGTACATTTCTATCACATAACATAGAAATGTATATAGCAAATTTTATACAATAGTAAATTTAGTTGCTTACTGTTATAGCATTTTGTGAAGTTTTAGAATGAATTTATTTATATTTTACTCATTGCAATGAAATAAATTATGTGCTTAATTGATTGAAATGCATGATCTTAAGGAATTCTGGTGTTAGTGAAAGAAGTTATGCTCTGATGCCTACAGGCATATTCTAGTGATATATGCACGTTATATTTTCTGTTGACATTGGGAGGCTATAAGGGTTTGAGGAGAATTTGTTACTTTCTGTTTTGAGATACAAAGTGATTGTTTAGTTACTTTCCTAGTGCTATATAAGTTTTCTGATAAATGTAAGTATAATTCTGTTCAATATAGTGATTTCAAGTTGTTTTAAATTTAGTTGTACATTTGATGACTAAATTATTTAAAAATTTAGAACTATAAATGTGGCCTACTGAGCTATGTTAGCTCACAATTATTTTGCATTTTGTTTTTATGGTTTGAGAAAGGAAAATAGCCAGTTAAGTAGCAATTTTAAGATATGGTCTGAGTCTATATAGGCATGTCCTTTTTTATATTTTTGTACATTAATGGCTAATTATCTAATCTGTTATGTTATGCATTCTAGTCTCTATCATGTATTATAGTGTAATTATTATACATATATTTTGATGATAAATAAAAAGAGAATTTTATGGATGAGTTTATTTTTGATATATTGACAGCTATTAGTAGCTCCGTAGTTTTTTGTTTTAAAATTAAAATTGGATAGAAAAAGCTAAAATGTTTTCAAAACTTAGATCCTAGGGTTCGCTTGTTGAGAACCAACACGATATAACCTATCTAGTTTGTGGGTCTTATCAAGTTGGGTTGTGACACATAGTATACTTTAACATCTATCACATCAAAACTTTCATTATATGAACATGCAAATAGTAATATTTTAACATGTATATGCCATATTTAACATGATCATGTATAAATTGCCACATGTACAATGTTTAAAGGGCTAACACATGTAATTTGCATACATATTTGGCATTTGCCATTAGAAAAATCATTTAGAACCATCAAAATATTGTTTCATGACTTTTAATGAATTGTTACCAACGCCAAAAATGTCATATTTAATGGTAGTTATTACACTTAAAACAATCTCTAATGGAGCACCTATTTAATATCTCATCCATGCGCATGAACTCTTTTCAAGCTCATAAAGTATAACTTAGGCTTTGTTTGGGACAACTTTCTTAATACTTTATAAAACAGAGTTTTAATAAACAAAAAAAAAAAAATTTTAATGTACTAAAACATTATTTTATAAAGCAATATGAAAGCTATCCCAAACGAAGCCTTAATCTCCACTTTAGCTCTCTCTTGGTTGATTATAATATGGGTAAAAAACTTGCATATATTTCTACTTCATCTTTGAAGCCCAAAGCTACCACTCACTTCTGCATGGATACCTTATTGAAACCCCCAAAGAAGGTTCCCTACTATGGGCAACACATTGATATAATTATTTAAGCTCTACCATATGGCTAAAGCATCTTAGAATTATGGGACCTCTGAGGAGACTTTGAACTGAGAGATAATCACGCCTTGATATGCACCTCACTTTCATAGATTAGCTTTCTCATATGGTTCAAATTATCATGATCTTGGCTTTTTTATGTATTCAATTGCAGTGTTACTACCTTATTCTCTACTTGATCACCATATGTATTACAACACACAACAAGTTTGTTGTTAACTTGATCACACTTGATTGAGTCCTATCTATTATCGCTTGATTGCTTGAACATGATAGATTCTGAATTGACTAGTCATTTTATTCTTGGTCGAGCTCCTCACATCAATATTAGAAAGGCCATTTCTTAATAGTTCTCCCATCCACCTGGCATAACCATGACAAAGTTATTAGATCCCTAGTGAGTCCTTCAACCTATAATAATACTTGGCCACAAGCTTTTGACCTTCGATGGGGTTGTCATTTAGTGAGGAGACCCTATACAATGTTGGAGCTACCTCTTAGTGTTAAAAGTAGAGGTTGCATAAATGGGGAGATCATCATAAGAGCAGAGCAAAAGGAGGGGGTTATTATTGAAGTGCTTGTTAGCTCTAATAAGGTGTCCCTAGTAAAGAAGTTTCACTTAACTGATGATGTCAAAGACATTTTTAGCTCTTCACTCTCCGTCCTTTTACAAAATAATAATGATCTGTTCACTTTTCATCAGGGTCGACATTAGCGTCACAAGCCACCTTTTGAGCTTCAATTATTGCTGCATTATGATAAGACAGAAAATTAAGATATTCTTACATGAGATCTACGAGGCTCTCATGGCCAATATCAAAAAGCTACTGCAAGTTAATTTCATTCAAGAAATCTAGTGTTAGGATTGGATCTCTACCCTATTATAGTGAATAAAACCCAAGTCAATTGAAGCTAAAAAATGAAGTTGACCAAGCCATTGGTGTCCAATGATGAAAATAAGTCTTTGAGACTGTTATCTAATAAGAATGCATCATGTTGGTGAGAATAAGACCATCTTTATCACTAAGAAAGGAACCTTATGCTACATTCAACTTAACAAACACACGAGTAATATATCAATTGAATCATCATCAAAATTAAGAGCAATGAGCCGAGCCTCATTGAGACATTTGCATCTCTTAGAAATATATGATAGGACATTAAGGCTCAATTTGGGATGGCTTTCTTACTGCTTCTTAAAACAACTTTTTAGTAGAAAAATTGAAAAATTTGTACTAAAAAACTGCTTTAAAAAGCATTAAGAAAGCTGTCCAAAACAAAATCTAAACCAAACAAAAAGTGTTATTCTAGTGCGATCATAGAATGATCAAATTGGTTCATTAGTTATTACATTTCCTCTGAGGGAATTAAAGACAACCTTATAAGGTAAAACTGGTGTTGGATATGCTTTCACTCAAATCAATCTAAGAGACTTCGAAGCACATAAAAAAATTAGCTGAACTCAAACGATTCATATCTAAATTTGGGGAGAAAGTGTTGCTCTCTTCCTTGCCTTGAAGAAACCTATTCAATTCATGTGAAGTAACAAATGTGAGAGATCTTGTATTAATTTAAAAGAATAACTATCATCAATGCTAGTGCTAAGCGACCCAATGTTGGGAGAAGAGACTTCTACTTCAAGCTCAGGGGAGAAAATTTGAACTCTCAGCTAAAAACTCATTCAAGAAGAAATAAGAACAAATCACCTATTAGGGATGTCATTTTTTGACACGACCCGAATCCGACCCGGAAAAATCCGGGTTCGGTTCAACCAAAACCCGAAACGGGTCGGGTTCGGGTTGAACAAATCAACCCGTTTTAAAAATCAGGTCTGGTTCGGGTTGACCCACCAACTCGAAATTGACTCGAAAGTGACACGAAAACTCATATTTGACCCGAAAACCCGAGATTGACCCGATTTGACCCGAAAATCAAATATTGACCCGATTTTGACCTGAAAATTAGCAATTTTAGGTCAACTTCGGGTCATTCGTGTCGGGTGGGGTTGACCCGGACCCGAATTTGGTCGGGTTCGGGTCCAGAAACCTGACCCGTTTTAAAAAACGGGTCAGGTTCGGGTTGACCCGAACAGTGCCGGGTCAATTCCGTGTTTAACCCGAACCCGACCCGCTGACCCGAATTGACACCCCTATCACCTATTCATTACTCTAACATTTAGCACTCATTGTGATCATCTTAGCCACCACAAGCTTTATGTTCTAGCTCACAAAATGTTTACTTGCCACCAAATCTTCCTTATAGCAAGTGCTACAAAATCATAACTCACTAAGCATTCTTAAGAAGTGGCCGAAAAAATTGAGAAAGATTGACATTCCATATATTTTGAGAATGGATATCAATGCATTATAATTTTACCAGTCATTTAGTTCAGGAAGAAACTAGACAGACACATTAGAAGATTACCGAGCTAAGCTTAAATAAAAAGATTTTGACTTATTTGCTTAATAAATTAGTCCAACAACACTCTAACTCGCTCAAAATTGACTCATTTATGCTCTATATTGACAAAATTATAATTGAAATTTTGTGGATCCATGTGAATCTTAGGCTCCGTTCGGGACAACTTTTTTATTGCTTTTTAAAAGGGGTTTTTAGTACACAAAATTATTGAACAAGAAATTTTTGTACTAAGAAGCTGTTTTAGAAAACAGTAAGAAATCCGTTACAAACGAAGACTAAGAAAGTATGCAAAATAAGTTGTTAAAATAAATAAATTATTATTAAGTGTGTTATCAAGCATTGTAAATTATGAACAATCATTTAAATTTTTATTTTTTTAAATTAAAACTATAATTTTGAAAAATAAATAATACCTAAAAGATTATAGATGTATTTGGCTATGCATGTAACATAGGGATGTCAATTCGGGTAAACGGGTCGGATTCGGGTCGAACCTGAAATTGACCCGGGACTGTTCGGGTCAACCTGAACTCAACCCGTTTTTAAAAACGGGTCAGGTTTCCGAACCTGAACCCAACCCGATACGGGTCCGGGTCAACACAACCCGACACAAATGACCCGAAGTTGACCTAAAATTGCTAGTTTTCGGGTCAAAAAATCTGTTCAATCTTCAATGTTTGGGTCAAAAACAGGTCAATCTCGGGTTTCCGAGTCAAATAGGAGTTTTCGTATCAATTTCGGGTCAATTTTGGGACATTTTTGGGTTGCTAGGTCAACCCGAACCGGACCCAACTTTTAAAACGGATTGATTTGTTGAACCCGAACTCGAACCGTTTTAGATCTCGGTTAACCATAACCCAAATTTTTTCGGATAAAATTCAGATCATGTTTCCGATGGTGTCAAAAATTGACACCGCTAATGTAACCCACCCACCCTAAAATTTATACGAGACACTTATGCCGCCAGGCAGAAGGTCACCCGATTAATACTTCTTCCCGGTCTTATCCCCTCGCTCATTCCGGTGACAAAGTGAAGGAATTGCAATACCCTCACCACTAGAAGAACGGCGAAGCCAGAGCAACTTCACGGCGATTTCTGTCTGCAGGCGGTGGGCTTCCAATGTCGCGTGGTACGGGCCGCCTCATGAAGGCGGTGCAGCAAAAGCTTGACATCTACTCAAAGATCTTTGTTGCTCGCTACGGGCAGCAGGTGATAGACCTACTGGAGCTCCCTATAAAAGTTGTGCTCTCTCCCTTCACCCTCGCCTTCGACATCGCCGGCTCCGCTCCCCGAGGTTTCGGTATCCCCGAGCTCGCATCCCACCTCTCCTTCACTGCCATCTTCGTAAGTCTCCTCACTTCCCCTTCATTGCTATTTTCCACCCAAAAGCCGAGGTTTGAATAACATTGTTTATACTGTTATGGTTCTTTTGGATGGAGTTGTTGATTTCTTGAATTGGTTGTAGGCGGTTGCGACGCTGGGTACCTATGATATTGCCCTGGAGTTGGGGAAAAAAGTGCTATGCCAGAGGTTGATAATTGTTCGCCATACTTCTATTCTTTGTCTCATTAGAGCTGGTTGTGTCATTCAGTTGTAATTCTCAGCTGAATTGGTGTGTTTTTGGTGCATTTGTTTGTTTTTGAATCCGAATCTTTTCGCCTCTCCCGTACTGTTTTTGTTTTGACGAATTATCTTGACTAGTTCAAATCTCACTGTTCTAGAATGCTTCACTGTAATCATCCGTTATGCATAATTGCTAAGCTTCTGATGGATGCTTCTTATATGGTCAAGTTTTGTTAACCATGTTATGGTTATGTGTGGTATCAACTCAGTTCCAGTGTGAATGATACACCCTTAAAAGAAGGAAGGCTTATAATGATGTAGTGGATCGTCGGAAGACTCGACCTGCAAGAAGGATTTCGTTTTCCCAATCCAGGGAAGAAGAAGAACAAAGCTTCAAAGCTTTAAAAAGGAGATAATATTCATTCAATGCCTTTCCCTACTACAATACTTGCTTATATAAGCTAAATAGAACACTCTAGAAGATACTTGTAAGAAGCACATAAAAAACTAATTAAAATATGCCTAAGGAGCAATTAGTTAAGATGCTCTGCATCATTCTCCTCTTGTGTCAAAAAGGGCTCGACTTCGTCGAGGCGTGTTGTAGAGAGGGAGATAGATGTAGAATTTATAATCAATCCTCCTGGGTCGAAGACTTTGAATGCAGTTGAAATTTTTTTCCTTATATCTCCATTTGCTTTCACAGTCATGAATTTGATTAGAAATTCAACATCAATAAGTTGACCAACCAGACTAATGCCAATGGATTCCTTCAATGATTTCTTCAAAAACCTCATTACTTTTCCAGCCTCCTTCGCAATCTCTGATTCAGTAATACCCATAGAAATTCCAATGTTAGCAAGTTTGAGGGTATGTGCATCATTAACACCATCTCTTGACATTGCAACAACCTCTCCTGTTTCCTGCAGGAACCTCACAATTTCTAGTTTGTGCCGAGGCTCAGCACAAGGGAAAATTAAGTCTATAGGCTTTGACAGAAGTTCAAGTTTCTGATTAATAAAAAGACTAGTAAAATTTTTTTTATCGGTGAAACTTCTCCACTTGACACCTTCCAGGTTACGAGCCAATCCAAATTCATGACAGATTAATTCTGCAGTAGAGTCGTTATCTCCAATTATAACAATTACCTTAATCCCTGTTACTCTAGAATATTCAATTGTTTTATAAACTTCAGCACGGGGAGGATCTCTAAGATCAGCAACACCAACGAAGATTAAATTGTTCTCAATTTCATAGTATTTGTTTGGATCAAGCTGCTTCTTGTTTGCAGGATGACTGTCTGTGCAGTAAGTTTTATATGCAAAATCTAAGCAGCATAAGCCTTTTGAACTTATCTCATGAACTTTAAGAAGAATCAGTTGTCTGTATTGTTTGTCCTGAAATATTAAATCAATCACAGCAAGGAAATCATTAATACCCAACCGCCTGAAGTTATCAGCAACATTACATCGAGCAGCTTGTGAGCATGGCATTGGATCAGCTTTGTATGTGGCCTTCACATCAAGCATTTGCACACCTTCCTTCTCTTGCACAGATCCTGGACTCTTGCCAGGAAGGCTCCCCTGCACCCCAACTGTTGTGAAGGAAACATGATCTGAACTGCTTTGGAGTTGTGAGGGAAACAAGATCTGAACTGCTTTGGAAGAACTGGCGCTTGCATCAACAAGACCAAAATGCTGTAGAGGAACTTGGGTCATGTACCCAAAAGGAGAAAGACCACCGTACCATCCTGAAATTTGCATTGGCAAGGGCAGAGATTCCACAGTTTTCTCTGTCATAGGCTCAGCTCTTTCACCTCTTGGCTGCTGCTTCTAGGCATGGTGTTTACTGGCGCTGGATCCTGATTTGGCTCTGGCGCCGGCAAAATCTTTGTCTTGCTTCTCCAGATCGAGTTGCAGATCAAGATCCCTCTCCTTGCCGGCTTGCTTCTTTGAATTGTCAACAATTTCTTCAGGTTTTGCCTTATATTTTTTTTTTCATCTCTATCTCCACATATTTGTGCTCGGCAACAAAATTCAGGATCGGGCCGAGGACGGATTGCTCGGCAATCTCGAGGGTGGAATCACGTTTGATGCCAAGCACGCCAGGCATGGAATGGAGGGTCGAGCGTTGCGGATGCAGAAGCGGAAAATCGTGTGCACTATCGGGTTGGATGCTCGGCATCGGAGTGGCGGCACTCAGAATTGGAAGTTCTGTTGGACGAAAGCTGCGAGCGACGATAGTGGGTTGAGTGCGGAATAAGGGATCAGGCAGAGGATCTCGCCATTGGAGCTGAGGGGGGTCACGCCACCGGAGAGGAAGCTTGAGAGGAGGTTGTCGTCGACCACGGTGGGTATATTACGGGATCGATAGCGTTGGCGTGAAGAGGATGAGAGGAGCGAAGAAGAAGAAGAATACCTCGGTATGGTTGCCGACGACATTCGCATCTTCCTTATTGACCGAAGGTTCCGATCTACCCGATCGAGTGATTCCTTCGCTTGAGCTTGATAGAAGGCGATCCGGCTTCGAGCATCGTCGACAGCCCACCTTCCTCGGCGTCGATCGTCGTCGACCGCCAATCTTATTCTGCGGCTTCGATCGTCGTCGACAGCCGACCTTCTTCCACAGTCCATCGATCTTCACAAGCTCCAGGCTCTGATACCAACTGATGTAGTGGATCGTCGGAAGACTCGACCTGCAAGAAGGATTTAGTTTTCCCAATCCAGGGAAGAAGAAGAACAAAGCTTCAAAGCTTTAAAAAGGAGATAATATTCATTCAATGCCTTTCCCTACTACAATACTTGCTTATATAAGCTAAATAGAACACTCTAGAAGATACTTGTAAGAAGAACATAACAAACTAATTAAAATACGCCAGAATGATGCAGAGCATCTTAACTAAATTGCTCCTTAGGCATATTTTAATTAGTTTGTTATGTGCTTCTTACAAGTATCTTCTAGAGTATTCTATTTAGCTTATATAAGCAAGTATTGTAGTAGGGAAAGACATTGAATGAATATTATCTCCTTTTTAAAGCTTTGAAGCTTTGTTCTTCTTCTTCCCTGGATTGAGAAAACGAAATCCTTCTTGCAGGTCGAGTCTTCCGATGATCCACTACATCATATAATCTATTTTTGATGAGAGAAATTTATCTTGAAGTTGGACCCTTAGTTTGTTATCTACTAGGGAGTTAGAGCCAAAGGTTGTCAAAGTTGGGCTTGATGCATCAACGGTCAAAATTTATTTTTGACTCAAAAGTTTGAACTTATGAGAGAAACATATTTTTTCACCCACCCATTGCGGATTGAACTAAATACTCTTATGCATCTTAACATTGTCAGCTGAAATTTGCTTCCTTGAATGTAGTTTTATGGAATGTTTGCTCGCACTTCAAAGTAATCTAAGGAATGTTGTTCCTTTTATCTTATGCCACTTCATGTAAGGAGGTCTGACGCCTTTATCAGCTTCAGTTTCTCCTTTTACAGCAACTATTTTCGTCTTCAGCTCATTGTAAGACAGTTTAGCTCATGGTTTTGTGATGAGACAAAAGACATGCCTTCTCTACCATTATGAGTGTCCAATATTGAGTTTTTACAGTAACTTTATGATTTCCATGTTTTTCTTTTTCATTCTTTCATATTTCTTATAGGAATTGTCACACCTGCAATGGTTGGCAAGCCTTACGGTGCACAATGTGCAAGGGTACAGGAAAAGTACACTATCAAGTGAGGAATTACAGGTTAAATAGGTAACCAAGGTTTTCTCCTTCTATTGTAATAAGATATTGCTTACCATTGAATGTTGTGCGTTTCACTTGGGATTAAAAAACAAATATTTGCTGCTGTTTTTTGAATTCTTTCAAAGAAGTGGAAATGTTTCCATACTACTTGTTTGTGTCACATTGTAATGTTTGAATTTGTATGTGTATGGCGAGATACTAATTTGAAAGTGATATAAAAGGCATGAAGTTGAAGTATCTACTGTTTTAATCCAGTATTATTTGAGAACACAAAATAAGACCGTCCAGCTAAGCATGTGAAGTTCAAACTGACTAGGTAATTTCTACCCATTTTATATATTTTGTATGCTCCATCATAAACAAATCTCTTGTTTCTTCCCATTCCTATATTTCAAAATGACCAAAAAATGAAGGGATTGTTTTTCCATAGAACATCTGATATTTAACAACTAAACTAGCAGTTCTTGTTGTATTCTACTTATGAACTATGGGAAAAATTAGCAAGTAATCTAACTTCAATAATTAGTTCTTAGATGCCTGCAATTAAAAATTCATTCATTAAAGTTTTGACTTCCGAGCTTTGGTTCTTTTGCTCAATAAAATAAGCTATTATTTTTTTATAAGGTGGGTTGAGATGTTTAAAGTTCTTAGTTGATGGAGCTTTCCATAGCTTTTCCCCTGTTGATTCACCTGAATGCTGTTGGCACAGGTTAGGTGTTGGAGTGATGGCTTATTCTACTTAGTTGTTGGGGGGAATGAGTTTTTCATTGGGTCAACATATAACAAAAGGTTGATTACATGATTTTTCCTCACCAATATGAATCTAGAAGTAATTGAAATGGACCCTGGTCTCTTTATTGTAGACTATCTGTGCTGTGGAAGATAAATCATCCTTTCTGCAGTTGCATAACTGAGTTATGGTTTCTCTTAGACTTGCTTCAATGACAGCAAAAATGATTTCATTTTTTAGTTCTTTTGCAACGAGCATTTTTTACATATATTTGCACTCTTCTATAGCAATAGCACTAGCAGCTGGATTACAGGCTACCTTGTTATTCCTTTTTCATTTCATCAAACCTTTTCCTCTCTTAAAGCGATTTCTTCTATTGAAATGTTGGTCAACTTTTTGATATATTCTTCTCTAGTGGAGAGCGGGCAACTGCTGAATGTGTTGCTGAAGCTGTTGCAGAGAACCGTGCTGAGCTGGTGCATCTTCCTTCTTCCATTGACTTTTCAGCACCATTGCCTACCAAAGATTGTTCAAGTTGTTCAGGAACGGTAGGTTAAATTTATGCATGTTGAAGTTTGATTGATGATTAACTTTTACATTCATCATATATTCAAAATGCATTGGCATGTCTTTTTGGTCTAATGCAGTTCATTTAGGAATTTATAGGGGCTTATATAATGATGTTAGATAAATTTGTTTAATTAAGCTGAAAACTTCTTATCAAAGACAACAGCGTTGGAAAAGAACTAGCAAGTTTATGTTCTTAGCATATGCAGCTGTCATCTTTAATTGTTGTAATGCAAATTCAAAATTAACTTTGGAATATCAGGGGGCTATTTTCTACTTAACAAAATTGCCGGTGAATAAATTCTGGTGTAATCTTCTAAGATTGACTAGTTGGTTTCATGCATGATTATAAACCATGCATTGTTAGAATACAGAGCGATATAGTTTATCTATATTCTATTATATTTATCTGAAACTTTCAATTCGGAATAAATTAAATGCCGTGTAATTAGTTTTTTCTGTTAGGTTGAAATTGTCTAATATTTTGTTGGTTATAATGTATACATGATGTAAATCTAAAAATCTTATTTGCTGGATGCTCAAATCATGTGCATTAACGTTGTTTTGTTTATTTTAATTCTTAGTTTTCTTTATCCTCATTCATTTTAATATAAAACATGCCTATGAAGCTGTTTTTTATGAGAACTGAATATGTTCTAAGTATTTTGATTATCTCATTAGGTTTGGTTTATTGCTACAAGTTGTTCCATACGATTATAAGTGCCCTTTTATTCTCTATGCATAATCACGAAATAATTTATTCCATGTAAGGTGGTTCTTGACTATGATGTTATGATTTGCCTCATAATATAGAATTGTTGCTATAGATCCTTATATGAAATTTTTTTACTGCATAACATTCTTATCTTTTTTTCTTTACCACCTCCTCTGAATTGCATATAATGATTCCCATCATTTATACTAAATGCTTTTAATTTTCCTTGATGCTTGATACTGTTTGTGGCTTTGTGTTGTATAGATTCCTTCGTCTTGCTAAAGATGTTGAAAAGTAACTTGTGCTTGTTTCGTTGAAGCTAGTTCGTTATGTTATATGTTTTGCGTGCCTACCATAATGTTACTGGACTTGATGTAATTTGACTAAAATTGCAGGGTGTGATGGGTTGTCCAGATTGTAGGCATCATGTACCACTCAGGATTTCTGCAGATGATGTGAGTTCTACTCACTTAATTTATGGGATAGTAAATCTTCAAGGTGAAACTAACAGATCTATCCTTTTATCTAATTATTTAGTAGTTCGTGCCGAAAAAACATGCCACCAGCTTCAAACGAAACATTTAACTTCAAAAATTTTTTGTTAACCTGAGAAGTGGGTGTTATACACTTTGCGAGATTTGGGGCATAAATTCACATCCTAATTCTTATGAGTCAATCAGGAAAGAACCTTTACTTTACTATAGATTCTAAAAAAGTATTATGAAATATATAGTCTTACTCGAGTTATTGATGGTTAAGTTACTTTTTTGATCGTCATGTGATAGGAAATACTTGAGTTCGCAAGTAATCCAAGAGGAAATACTTGAGTTTGCAAGCAACCCTAACAATAATTAGTCAAAACAGCAGAAATAACACCAAAATCTTGGTGAAATCAATCCCAAAATGATAGATTATGACAGTAGAATCAAAACAAAACAAACACAAAGCAAGATACAATTGATCCTCAATTCGAGAGGAGGATCATTCTCTCCCAATCTCTAGACGATGTGTCTAGAGTCCAAGATGCCAAGGAACTCCACGAGAATAATTCCAAACATGCATGCCCTAACCCTAGCCTCTCATGTTCTTTAAATACAATTCTTCCTAATAAAAAGCTTCCTAACATAAACCAATTTCAAATTTACTTCCTTAAGCATTAGCCGCCTCTTCCTCTTTCTAATTGCCGCCCCATGGGGGGCCCACCATGCTTGAGCGGACATTAAGGAGGCTGATTAGCCCGCCTCCTATAAAACTGAACCGGCCCCTCCTGGGCTGGTTTGGTTGGTTCGGTTCTCCCTCCGATGTAACATCAGGTAAAATGCTTTAGAAGTTATGATTGGGATAGAAGTGGGGAGTGGGGAAATTTTCTCTTTTAAACCAATGGTTAGATAAACTCTCCGTAAGGTGATGTCAAATGTGACATATATGAAGCAAGCATTGTAATTAGCTTGGAAAAGTTATTTAGAAATCTAAAATAGCTTCTGGCCTACTTTGTTAACCAATCTATCATCATGATTGCTCTACTAGGTTTGACCTTTGTACCAATCTTTCATTGGTACTAAATTTAGGGCTCTTGCACATATGTTGGGTGAACCTTGAGTTATCTTGATTTACATGCAATCTGGAATTACTCTTTTTAGTCTAGTTCACCTTATGGAGGCTGTTGTTTGTCAAGAGAGCCCTAAATTTAGTCTCAGTTCATTTCCCTCTCCATGATGGGTTTCGAGGATTTTAATTTATCTCTACATTTTTGCCAATGATAACAATTAAATCAAATTATAATTTATCCAAAAATTGACAAATTATCACTATTTCATACACAACTTTCTTATTTCTTATTAAAATTGCATGATTTTGGCATCCTTGGAAAGCTAACAAAATTTCCTACAACTTATATATATATTTTTTTTCTTTGGCCAATTTCTGCACTATAAGTTGCAAATTTCGCATAAATTGGTAAACAAAGTTTAAATGTAGAAGTTCTAAATTAATTTCACAATAACGATCAAAACTTCCCCATTTCATGTTGGAGTTGGTATCTTTTGAAAACTAAAGAAATTCTCCACAAAATTTGTTTTTTTCATTTTGGATAATTTGGATACAATAAATCAGAATTTTTATGTAAATCGAGAGGTGTCTCAAAATTGAATATAAATCAATAATTTGAGTCGACACAATCAAATTCCAGGAATTGAAATCTATTAAAATAAAAAAATAATCTAAATAAAATAAAAAACAACCCAACAACCACCTAAGCACCCTCGGGATCCACTTAGTAAAAGGTATAAAGCCTAGCTAAATCTCAAAGCTTAAAAAAATCAAATATGGTTTTAATATAAACATGAAGCTTTAATTAATTTGATTAGCCTCATAAATGTATAGTAACATTTGTCCGTCATTCCTTAGCAACTTGCCATAGCCATTGGCGTGCATTCCCAAGCACTATCATATCCTAAAGGCTAAAATCGAGAAGTAAAAAAGAAGAAGAAACTTCTTGCTGGCAGCCACCACCACCGTTGTCAGCGAGGTTCTCGATGACAATCTATCACCCTTGATATCCAAATCTTGCAGGCGGCAGGCATCCATACAGGCTTCTTCATCATAAGGAATTCATGCAAGCTTAATATTATGAAAGAAGACAATACTTATGCCATCAGATCTTGTATTCAAGATTTTACGGTATAAAATCAATCAATTGAATTATGTCCTGTCCAATGCCTGTTGCACAAGGATCCCATGCAATAGAGAATGGTTCCCATCTATTTCAGCCAATCAGGATTTAAGAAATAAACATTAACTGATCAAAACTTTAGGAAGGCTATAAAAAGTAAAGATAAGTCTAAAAAATACAAAATAAACTTTGTAATTTTTATAAATTAAATCTCTACTTTATAACAAATAGTTATATTTTGATAATCAAGTATTTTGTGTGATTTAGAACAACTTTCGAGATGACACCATCTTATCGTTTTGAGCCCTCACTACCAATATTTAGTACTGTTCAAGAGAGCCTATTATTGTATAGGATACTTGTGGCACAATGATTGTATGGTTCTCAAAAGAGCCTATATTTACTCTTCTCAATGCTGCAACAGTAACTCGCCAAAACACATTCGTAATGGTTCTCAAATCTCTCCTTTTACCTCTCCTTTGATTCCATATCTTTTCTCGTTGCCGAAGTGATGCCTTGTAGGGATGAGACCCCACCATATTATTCTTTATTATCCTTCTCTAACTTGAAGAGTAACTAGATGCCATTTATAAATAACCTGGTCTCGTGTGATAATGATTAGACATTCTATTATACATTCTACAACATGAGCATTTTTTTTTATAAAGTTTCAAACTCCCTGCTACTCTTTTGAAGGTCATGAACAGATATCACCCTCTATTTGCCAGTTGTTGTACAACTACAATCAGTTATACTAGACTAATAACCAAATTTGATGCCACAATATCACTTTTACATAATGTAATTATCAGTTAAAAATGCAACAATCGATTTTTATATAACTAGAACTAGTTATAATGCACTGTTAATCATCAATTATCAGTTCTAATAATGATAAATCATTATTCTTATACATAACTAACAAATTCTACACAAAGGTAGTTGGTTACTGAATTACAGCTAGTTGTCATACATTACCAATTATCTTAAATCTATGACATGTTAGAAAGTAACAATAGTTAACACTTGATGAAAACATTAAGATGTCAATAACTGATCTGATGGTACTTCAATAACTAGTGGTTTTCAAAACTTGGGCCAAGGTAGTGCATTTATGGTCCTTGCATGACTTCCCCTAACTGCTGTAATCATAATAGATGAAATCTTTCTATCCTTTGAAACTTTTTTTTTTTAAAACTTAATGCAAATCTTGAGTACTTATCATTTGTATTTTCAGATTATGGAACCACCATGGAAAGCTTATAATGTCATGAGAAAGATGGACTATCCCTATGAGGCAAGTTCTACTTTTAACTAAATATTTCTTTATTTCTATCACTTTTGATGAAACAAGTAGGATTTGTTTGTGGATAAAGCGATTGGAAATTTTTGCTAGGTTGTCAATAGCTTCATTATTGTACCACTGCCATGTTATTTCCTTTTTGATGCCATTCTATGTCATTTTAGAACATTGGCGTGACCTGATGCTTCAGCAATACAGATTTTGGCAAGCTCTTGTTTTACATTGCTTCTCAGTACATTCACATCGTGGAGCTTATTTTGAGAAAATTCTTAACAAAACAGGGAACTCGGATTTTTTTTAAAGATATAATAGCATTTTCAGGACTTGCCTTTATCATGGCACCTTGAAATTGTAGAGTTTTATATCATTCAAATATTTGATGGTGGTTTGAATTTCATTTTACAACACTTTTGCTTGTCCTACAACACAAATATTTTAAGCTTCTTGGTGATAGTGATGTTGCTACTTTTTGTTGCAGCATATTGTTCATAGCATGAAGGACCCAAAGATTGCTGCATTTTGGTTGTTTACCTTCCCTCAAGTTGTTGGAGGGTGCAACTATGATGATGAAATCAAGCAAAAGATTTGGTGGGCATACAAGGTTGGCCTTTATTTATTCGTTATCTATTCATCAGTGCTGCATTATTAAGAATTGGATGCTATTTACAGCAGTAATGATCATTCTTCTCTGTTTAAGATGCACTCCCATATCCATTTCTCTTTCCGTTTATGTAAAACTTCAATCAGATGTCCCAAGTTTACCCAATTTCTCTTTCCGTAGCTCACACATGCACAATGCTGCCTATAGATGCTGCATTGTGTTCAACCTATGTGTAGAAGGTTTTGGATATTTTAAGTCTACTTCATAGGATCCTGCAATGCTTGTGACAATCCGACAAAATTCCTGTTATTTGTTATTAGATATATCAATGACATTTGATTAGATGATTTTATAACAAAAAGAAGGAAGTTCTGTTTATTATAATCATAGTTTGAAATAGGATTGGACTGGCCGATTCTGCTAGTTCAATTGTGAGCCGGTCATATGACCAGTCTTATCAATCCTTAAAAATTGATTGTACAATAAATCAGATTGAACTGGTTAGAGCCACTGGTTCAATCAATGTGCTGTTGAATTGATCCCAATTTCTTTGAGCGGTCCATTCAATTGTTGAACACTTTAAATAATTAAACAAATTTAGTATAAAATACTAAATAAAATAATAAACTTTATAATTAATTTAAATTTAATATATTTTAATTTTAAAATAACCACAAATTTCCTATAATATTCATTTGCCAAAGAAGCACCATCCAAGCATTCTTACATGGCCCTATCACTTCATATGAGTTCCTAATACATATAATCACAAAAAGATATACAAACAGTACTAAGAAAAAAAATTTCAAGTAATGTGGTACTAAATAAATAAGTTGAATTATCAAATTCACAACACATATACTATATTTTCTAAATAGATTTTTAATTAATTTTTTATAATTTGAATAATATTTATTTTTTTAGTAAATAATATTTAATTTTTAATTAATTTATTTATTTAATCATACCAAAAAAAAATCTATTTTTTAAAGATAGATGAGCTAACATGAATGATATTTAGAGTCAAATTTATAATATGAATTTGTTATATAATTTATAGGAGTAAATTATATCTACATATATAATGGAAATAATAATAATTTATATTAAATTTATAAGTTTATATGTGAACTAAATTTATATGAAATATGAATCAAATTTAAAGATTGAAGCTCTTTAAATTTAAAATTACATATGATAGTATGTGTATGAATTTTGTTTAAATTTTAAGTCTCAAATTTTAAATTATTACATCATTGTTATGTTATTTAGATTTTATTTAAATAATTTCAATATTTAGTACATTATCTTGTTTACTCCGGTGGAATCATTGAACTTTAACCCTCTCATTGTTTTAATTCTATGTCCAGTTCGGTTTTCACAGTCTTGATTATAATTGTGAATTAATCAATGTAAGTTTTGCTCGCTGTGGTATTTGAAATTCTGGAAATGTCCTGTTGCTGTGAATTAGATTTTTCAGGCCTATCTCAAAATACAAATTCTGTGGGCAATGACTTTCATAGAATAATTCTTCCTGTTGGAGCATCCATATAGTATGAGTATTATTACCATGGACCCTCCAATTTGCAAGCAGTTGTTGACGCTTTATCCATCTCATTGTCATTGGTTAACATTTTTTATCCTGGCATTGTTTGCAAGAATTAGGTTTATTTTGTGTATGTGAAACACCTTTTCAACTTCTTGGATGGTGTGCTTATAAGCCTATTACAAATTAAAATTTTTTGTTGTTCTTTCCTATAGTTTATTCTTATAGTTTGTTGTCTATTCAAGGATTCTATGAGGTATGATCAACTTCGGGATGCAGTTGCTAAGCGGAAACCTGGTTGGGAGCATCTGCAAAGTGTGAGTATCAATTAGCGGCTCAAATAGTTTGGCATTCCTGAAATTGCATAATTCCTACTCTTTATATTTAAAATGTGCTTGAAGTGTGCATTTTTTTATGAAATTTTTTATTCTGTAAATTAACAAAATTTTTTACTTTTGATACTACTTGGAGTTATGATCGATTACCGATAATGTTGTTTTAGCTTATTTGACACATCTTTGTAAATTTATCTCTAAATATTGGTTGAAGCTGAAACATCTGATAGTGGCAAAGCCATGACTGGAATTATCAGGCTTATCTGGATTAAACACCTCTCAATCCAACTTATTCTATCAACTAAGAGGCATTGTGGCTTCAAGTAGCTTTGTGGTTTTTTAGTTTTGGACGATAATGTGCAGGTACATGATGCGCTTTGGTATTAAAAACAATAACAAACTCAAAGAGATTCATCACAAAAATAGATTTATATTGTTATAAAACCAAATACAAATAAAGCAAGATACAATGGTCCTCTTTTGAGAGGAGGACATTCTCTCCCAAATCCTAGAAGCCGCTAGTATTCCTCACAAAAAGAAAACTACAACACTCTCAAATCAAATTCTCCATTCAAACATAACATAAGTCCTACTACTTATAGCAGACAATAAAATAACAAATTTCAAAACAGCCCTCCCCCAATTTCCTCTCAAATCAACCCCTAAGTCAGCCCCCAAAGTCCTCTCTAATTAGAAAATATCTCCTAATTAATCTCTTCAAATTCAGCCCCCAAATCAGGCCTTTTTTAATTATTCTTAATTAATCTCCTTCAAATTATCCCCTAAATCAGCCCTTTTTAATTAGAAAACATCTCCTAATTAATCTCTTCCTTAATTCCTCTTCTCACATATGTAATGATAGGTTTAATGGGCCCCACAAGGGGGGCTGAATTGCCCTCTCCCATATCACAAAGGATTGTGGAAGTCACGAAGGAGCTTGTGAAGCCCGATAATATATGTTGTAGCTGCTGCTAATGCACAATATTATGCTTCTATGGAGGATCTAGTAACAGTGGGCTGCTTCTTGACATTCCAGGATATTAAGGCATTGCCTATGAAGGAATAGTATCCTGAGGTGGAGCGTCTGGTTGTAGTGTTGCTTGCCCGGCCAGTGTTGTGAAAGGAGGTGAGGTGTAGTGGTCCGTGGGAGATGGGTAGACCGTAGTGAAGAGTGTCTTTGATGATAGTCATTTCAGTTGGTAGTTGTGTGATGGTAGAGGATTATGCATGTGTTGACATAAGAGGTTAACTGTGTAGGCTATGTGATGTAAAACGTACATGCACGGATGATTAGATTAAGGAAGTTTACATGCTTAATTTTTAGAGCACAATAATTATAAGCTTTCTCTTGATGATAAACGACAAAATAAAACGATAAGGTCATAAAATAAGCTTAGGCTAAATCACATGCGTGATGCGTGGAAGTTAAGATTGCAAACTAGTCAATTAATGTGACGTTGCATACATGATTGGTTTTCAACCATAAATCCCAATGCTATAATAAGACTAGTCACTACTAGGAGATCCCTCACTCAACTCTTCTAATTACTAGGCTTTAACGGGGAAGAATTAGCAAGATTGTCGTGAATCAACATATAACCACAAGTAGTAAGTGCACTAGGAAGATAAGAGAGTTTGGAGGGAGAGTTTTCTCAAAGAAGGGGAGTTACGATGTTCCGGTGCGGTCGATTATGAGCTTGGGGAAGAGTGAACAACAAGTTCAGGGTTGGAAGCCTTCATGATGGCGATCAGAGACCTTCTGGACAGTGGAAAAGTCATGGAAGGTCAACAAAATGGCTGGACAGCAGCTAGGGACGTCTTAGACAGCGGCAATGAAGGTCGGGACAGCAATTTGGCACTTGAAATAATTCTGGACAGCAACTTCGCAGACTTGGACAGCAGTCCAGCACTTGGAAACTCCAAAGAAATAGAAGATATGAAGCTTCGGCGGCTGTTTGGGTGCTGGAGAGGAAGTGGACGGCAACCACGACCTTCTTGGTGTTGTGGGCAGCAATCTGAACCTTCAAGACAGCACACTAAGATTCCCCCACTGGCTGCACAGCAGGAAGAGAAGCAGAATTTCTATGGACAGCAATTGGCAGTGTCTGGACAGCAGCTTTCAAGGCTCCAATATTAAGGTTCAGCTTATGGAACCTGTCCAAGGATCTGGACAGTAAGCTAGAGAGGGGAGTTTCAGCGATTTCCTCTTGTTGGATGCACAGACACTTGGATAATGAAGTGGAAAAGTAGGCGGGCAGCTATGGAGATGATCTTGGAGTTAATTTCCCTTGCTTATGTGGCATGTTAGCAATTTCAAATTAATTAGGAGGGGAGATGGAGTTTTAGTAAATATGAAATTAATTTCAGATTAGGTGAATTCGGAGGGAAAGAATTTGAATTTTGAATTCAAACTCTCATTGAAAGGAATTAAGTGAGAGAGAGGAATTGTGGGAGATAATGAGGGAGTATTAATAGAGAGCAATTAATGATAATTGGAGAGAGAAAGTATGAGGGAGAGGGGGCCGTCCATGTAGAGAGGAGAGAGAGGGGTTTTGTGATTAATATGTGGGCCCCAAGGAGGTTAATGCAGTTATAATCAAATCTGAAATTAATTTCAGATTTGATTCAAATTATAAGAAACTTCCTAATGGAACTTAACTCACATAGGAAGGTGATGTGAAACGTACAAGCATGGATGATTAAATTAAGGAAGTTTGCACGCTTAAGTTTTAGAGAACAATAATAAGCAAGATCTCATGTTGATTTGAACGATAAAATAAAATATTAAAGTGATAAATAGCGTTGGTTAACTTACGTGCATAGAAGTTGAGAGCATAAAAATCAATCAATTTAATCTGCTTTTGCATACGTGAATGGTCTCAATAATAAATCCCTTTGTTAACATTAAGACTAGCTACTACAAGGAAACCTTCACTCAACTCTTCCTATTACTAGGCTTTAGCGGAGGGACCAACAACATCCTTGTGAATCAAAATATAACCATGTTGGAGAAGTAAACTAAGAAGATAAAAGAGTTGGGGTAGAGTTTACCCAAAGTAGAGATATGCACACTCTGACAAGATCGTTTGAATGCTGCAGAAGATGTGGGCAGCAACCAAGAGCCTCCCCGCAGCATGGAACAGCCGGGAAGTGGCGCAGAAATACAAAACAACAGCAGTTTTGATCTTGGACAGCAGTTTTCCTGAGGCTGAAGTTCAGGACAGCAGCAGTTTTGAGTCAAAGGAGTCTTGGACAGCAGTTGGGGATCCTTCTCAGCGGCTGGGAAGCAAGTTGTTTGGCTGAGAAAATCTGGACAGCACACGTTGGGCAACAATGGGGAAAATTCTGGCAGTTGCACAGTGAAATTTCCTTTGCTGGAATTCCAGGGCAGCAAGGTAACGTCCAGAAATTAATGCAGGAATTAATCCAGCAGTTTTGATACAAAATTTCGGACAAAGAGGGAAAACGTAACAGGGAACCTGAAATAAATTTCAGGTTTTCAAAAAGAGGGTGGGAATTGAATTAGAATTCAAACTAATTCCAAATTGGGACCACTAGGGGGGCGGCTGCTGTAGGATGGGATTAATGGATATTAATTGCAGAATTTAAGTTTAATTGGAGAGAGAAATGCTTCCATCCAAATCTGAAAATAATTTCAAATTTTGAATAGAATAGGAGGGAACTAATTTGAAATTTGAATTCAAATTAATTAGAGAGAGAGGGGGAGTTAATGTGGCATTAGTGGGGGGAAGCCTAGGTGGCCGACGGGTTCAAGAGGGAGAGGGAGGTGGGAGTGAATTATGATCCTTCCAAAATTAGCTTGTTTGCTTTAGGAGGATTGATCATGAAATCCACTTCAATTTGAATTTCAAATTGACGAGAATTCGAAAACTTTCCTAATTAAGAGAATTCCAAAATAGGAAAGTTTTGAAATTCATATTTGAATTTCAGAATTTGACCAAGGGGAAATGGGGAAGTGAGGCCGATGATGGGCTTGGCTTGGACGGGCGGTGGAGGTGGGGCGGCCGGCGGCTGAGAGGAGGCTAAGGCCGGCGGGTTGGGGGAAAGGAAGGGGATCGGATGTCGGGGATAGACCACGAGCCACGGACTCTTCCAATGACTGGTGGGTATTGCTTTTCGCCCTCACCTTGGGCTCTCATTCTCCTCTCTAACTCTCCACAAGAAGAAGAAGAAGACAAGATAATAAAAACAAATTTTCATTCATAATCTTCACTAGCCCTTCTCCAAGAAGAGGAGAGATTTAAATAGACAAATACAAGAAGGGAAAAAAATAAAAGACAACAATGCTCTCGGGGCTTACAAAGAACTAATTCCTTAAGCAAGGGCATAAATGGAAAAATACAGTAAATAAATAAATAGATCACATATAATTAAAATAAAAAAAGGCGTCATCATAGCCGTCGATCATCGGCCACGTCCCTGATGGAACATTAAGGGTCTGATGTCCGCATCAGAAGGAGTTTTGAAATTCAAAATAAATTGATTGCCAACAAGGATTCCCTCCTAAATCACATAGAGATAATTTAGGAAATGATTTGTGATAGAATTTGAATTTCAAAATTCGAATTTGAAGGATTATGGTGGATGGGCTGGCGGGTGGAACAAGTGGAGGGGGAGAGGGGAGGGCTGGCCGGCGGTTTGGGGCGACTAAGGGGGCGGTGGACCAGTGAAGGTGGGCTCGGTTTTGGGAGGAGGGGAAGGGGACGGGGAGTAGGAGGCCGGCGGGTGGGAAGATTGGGGAGGGGATTCGATGCAAGAAAATAAAAGAAAGAAAGATAAGAGAATCGCGAACCTTGGAATCCACCAAGATTGACGGGTATTGCTTTTGCCCCACTTGGGCCTCTCCTCTCACGAACTCACTAAGAGATCATCCAAAAAGAGATCCATAAGCATAAGCTGAAAATTTCATATTAATCATCATCCCGTCTCCAAGAGGAGGGAGAAGGCTTAAATAGCCAAAT